CCCCCCACCCCACACACACACACACACACACTTGCTGCACACTAAGCACCTCCTTGACAAGAAAATGGAAATATCAAGAAGCTTCTTAGCATAGACGCGATTTAACATTCATCATGGAGAGCCGTTGCCAAGTCGAAGCACGTCTGTCAATATGCCTGTGAAATGAAGAGCCAGAGGCTACTGACCCAGACACATCAGCTCCTTTTTGGTCATCTAACAACACTTTCTGGAGTCTTCACATTGACATTCACATTGATTTTCTTACTCTCAGCTTGCTGCAGCTTTCGAGGATGTAGTTCACGCTGGTGTCTTTTTGTGCGGAGTGAGTGGGCAACAAGTGAAGTTCAGGCAAAGTGTTTATGACAGAAAGACTTAAGCACACAAAAATTATACAGTGGAAATAAAAGTTGGGCATAAAAGCAATTCTACAACTTTGTCTTTTATATTAACATTGTTTCAAATACCTGCAACACCTTGGTACATTCAAAACTTGAAATAAGAACATTCTATGTCACACCAAGTACACTTGGACTTTTTGCATTTCATTAAAACAACACATATGCGCCTAAAACTACATTCTTAGAAATGCTTCATATAAGTTTCCAAATATTTTTCCAGCTTTATAACAAAAACAATCTATGTATAGTTACAACTTTTCAATTCCTTAAAAATATACATATCATGCTTTTATATCCTTCATGTTCACATTTAAAATCATTCATTTGTGGTCTATAGAAAATGGAACTACAATGCTTTCTGAGGTGCGTCTTAAATAGGGTTTGGCAGTAGTGATCTTTTTCATACTGACATATTATTTAGATAATACCCTGGTATAGGGTATTAACAAGGCAGGGTGGAAAGGAGCAAGGCGTGGGGGATGTACGGCCTTTGTTGTGTTGAGTTACTTTCTCACCATCTCTCCCAACTTCACTCAACTTTTGCATTTTTTTATTTTATTCTTCCTGTAGACTTTTTTGGTACTTGTCCGATAACTTTGGCCCTCAGTCAGGAGGTCAAGGAGGTTGGGGATTTAGTTTTTTAACCAGCTCAAAAGACGAATGAGATTGACGGTGGATTGAGCTTTTGAGCACATCAAATAGGACGATCATGTTCAGAAAAAAAATAAAAAATAAAAAATAAAAAAAAAACAAAAAAAAAGTGGCATATACTTTCTATCACAACTCTGATTTTATTTGGCCTATCAACAAAATTTTAAAGTTTGGTGAATAGTTTAAGTCTCTACAGTTGACACATATTGAAAAAGTCTCAAATAAAAGGTGTGTCTTTGCGACTAGAGCAATCTAAATACCGTATTTATTTGTGTATAATACAATCTCATGTATAATACGAACCCCCACTTTTTGAGCTTAAAAAGCATAAAAAATATTATCCGCAAACTACCTCCAATTTCATAGACTTCAAGATTTTTCAGCCTTTGCACTCTTTATACATATCAGTAAAATGATCTGACTGTTCACTATTAACAGTCAGATCATTTTACCTGACCTCTAACCTGAGGATATTCAAGAGCCACTATTTTAACAACATATGTACTAAAAGGTATTTTGACAACAAATATATATCAGCAAACTATGATTTTGAGCTTTGTAGCAGCATCATATGAATTCTGGCATTTTACACATAGTCCACCAAGACGCGCCAACACAAAAATCAGAGACTTCACATGAGATTTGGGCCATCTTCTGGGGCAAAAGCAGATTACTTCCTACTCGCTAGCACCCCGTCTGGTGGGGAAGCTTTTTTCCCAGGGTACAAACTTTTTCAGAACACCAGTAGACGGCAGCCATTACAGACGAATGTGTCTGTTGTTGTTCGAGGCGCGGCCCGGTCACACGCTAATGTCATTAGTTCGTTATCATTACTAAGGTGCAGGACTGCTTTTTTTCACATCATGTCACCTGCTTGGATCTGTTCTTATCTCGCTCTGAAGCACAGAGGAGTGTCAGAGGTAAGCTTGCTTTAACGGCTTTATACGACGCGGTCTCATTTCCGGTCTCAGGCATTTTGTGAATGAAGCCGATATTTTGGTGAAAATACACAAGTAAAAATATTTATCCGAGTATAATACTACCCCCCCACCCCAACTCTATGGATGATTTTATGGATTAAATATTACATATTATACTTGAATAAATACAGTAAGTCATATGACTAGGCTCCAGAGGGGTTAATATAATCGTCATCATTTTGGAATACCATCACATTTCCATACCGAGACGTACCACAATACTGTCGTACTACCCAAGCCTGGTCTGATAGCAACTTGTTTTGGCGTGGTCTTTTTAAATGCAAGTGAGGCACATCACAACCCACCCCCTCCACCCTGTTTGGCCATTTTAGTAGTTTGATAGCAGAGATAAGATTATCTAGTGGCACAGAAACTTTTTATTTACAAATTGATTAAAAAATGTCAACAACGGAAGACTTGTCCATCTGGCCTTACATGCTGGAGCCAGAGTCTGTCCCAGACAGAGAGGAAACTGAAGACGACAAATCTACAGAACTGCAGATCTGCAAAATAGTTAGGCCAAAAATCCATGACCTTGTTCAGCAGTTCTGCAATAACTACTGTGATGTTATGGTTCAAAAATGTTACAGAAAAAAAAGAGAAAAATTAACAAGTTGAAAAGTATGACCCAAACCGAATATAAAGATATCTTTGCAGCACCGGGAGAGACTCATTAGCCTATATGCCACAGTCATTAATGACGTATTTCCAGTAAAATTCTTGCCACGCGCATCCCTTCCGCTCCCTGCTTACTGCCTATGTTTTTAGCGTGAGCTCCTAGTACTAGTCTGTGAAAAAGTCACAAAAGTTAAAGCATCTGTGATCTACTGGTATAAAACCTGAGTTCTGTTGTGTGCCGTTGTGTCCACTAACCAGCAGTACGATCGAGTAGTTCGTTTTTATCCATTTTCCTTTTGATGAGGAGGAAAGGTGACAGCAGTGGCTCACAGCATTACAGGGAAAACTTATCTTTAAAAGCTCACGCTCGCGTTTGTAATCGGCATTTCTAACCTGAGGATATTCAAGAGCCAGCATCAGAAATGAGAAGACGGAGGTTACAAAAGGGAAATGTACATTTATCCCCTTTTACTGCCAAGACCGAGAGGAAAGACCTCCTCCACACACAGCTAGCAGGAAGCTAACACAGAAGCCCAGCCAGTACAAAGGTAGGTGTGCGTGCGCGCGCATTTGTGTTATATGAAATGTTTTTATGCAACTTTGTCATGAGTTTTATGCAAAAGTAAAACCTTGTTAGAGTGTATATTACAGCGTAGACTAAAGCTGAGTGACGAGCGCCCCCCCTCCCCCCCGAGCAGCAGAAACTTCGCCTGATAATCATTACGTTTCAGTTCACAACGTCGGGGAAAACGATCCAAACCATACAAGTACTCCATCAATTTAAAGCTCAGACTCTGCTCTTTCCAACAATATATGTGTCACAGCTCTATGTGAAAAATTCACCGAACAAGCAGCAACAGAATAGCGAAAAAGGCTAAATTCTGGAACCATAAACACGAACGTCTTTCCTTTGTTTTTATGGATTTAATCCACTTTGGAGTGATTTTTTTCCACTTGGCTGGACCTGTACGTCTCCTGTGTTAATGTTGGTACATGTAATATGTTAATTCTGTACTGTGAAGATCATTAAGAGTCGTCGGGTGAAAAAATCTTTCGCTAACACTGTGTTGACCGTGAACCGGAAGTGTTGGGAGTGGCATCAAGTGCTGGGCCGGATGTCCGTGGCATATAGGCTATTCCACTTTTCTGCACTGCTAGAGACACCAAGTACACAACAAAATACTGTATATTTAACGGCTAAAAACTTAATTTTGCATATGTCCCCTTTAATTGTGCAAACATATAGTATACCTACTAAAAAGTTTAATTTGATTAAACTTTACTCCCTATATTTCACTAATTAAAAGAAAATACTTTTTATGGCTAATGTAAATGAAAAGATTAGATTTCCCAAAGTACAACAAGGGATGTATACTGGAGTGTTTGAAATAAAAACCACTTATTCAATTCTTCTGGTATACATCACAGACGTCCGACAAAAACAAATACTGAACAAAGTGTGACAAAAATAAAATCTGACAATCAGTGTGTCTTATTCAATAAGAGGATTTGTTCTAGTCATTACCAAATATGACAAGTTGTGTGCAGAAATATATTAAAATTTTTAAATAATAATCCGTAAGTCAAAGCCTTTTTTTCTCATAAAACCCCAAACAGAGTTCAAGTTTTCTCTAAAAATAGATCAAAAGTACAAACAGATTGTCAAAAATCAAGGAGAGTCATCTGCATCAACACAAAGTTCATAATCTCTGCAGGGCAAAGTCAATAAATGTCTGTAACCTGATTGCGTTCAGTGAACAGATAAGTACCAAAAGTTGATTCATATAAATACATTTAGAATAAATCCAATCCCAGTTTTTTTTTAACTTTTGTCCAATTATAATCACATTTGTAAACAATTTCATGTTAAGTGACATCCAGCTTGTCATCTCCACAGGAGCAAAACACAAAGTCAACAATTGAACAATAGGCACAAATAATGGACTCTTATTTGCTGGTGATGTCCATCATCTTCTCTTGATGAACAGAACTGATGCTCTGTTTTAACTTCTTGGTAAACAGATGACTTACTCTGCCACAGTAGGTATTTGTGGTTGTCTGCAATGATGCTTCCAGCGGCTGAAGCAGTGAGGTCTCCATGTTTTCTCCAAAGGGGTACTGGGATGAAGAGAAGCACATGCATGTTGAGTTTCTGATTTCAAAGATCTGAGATTGAAGATCTGATTTTATTCCACGTTTGCAAGCACTATTAGTTTGGCTACACTAGAAAGTACTGAAATTATTTAAGAGTGAAATGACTCAGCCCTCTGTGAACAACAGGTGGTAATCAGGGTATTAACGATTGTTAGGCTGATGGTCCTCTTTTGCATATCAAAAAAAAAAAAAAAAACAGTTTTAATTGTCATTGTTGAACCTGTTTGTCTAACATGGGGAAGAACTGCTTTTCAGGCTGAGTTTACCTAAAACTCCTCAGACTGAAAACGTCTCTTGGAGAAGAAACACTTAATTAAAGAACCCGTCCAGAGGACCTACTTACCTCTTTTTGAATTTGCTGAAGCCACTTAGTTTTGATCAATGCTAAAATGAGCCATATGCTTTAAAATTTTTTTTAATAGAACCAATATCACACTGCTGCATAGGACAATAAAATTTACCTTCATATAATATGAAATAGGTTGCAGTCCGTTTCGGACAATAACACTTTCTATCTGATTAATAATCTGTCAATTCAGACTGTGTTTGAATGACGATCTATCATCACAGGTACATAAAATGGGCTTAGTAAAGCATGGCAACGTATCAAAGCTACAGCTGCAGTGCTTCCACGCTGAATGTTTTCATCCATCCATCCATCCATTTTCTTCCGCCTATCCGGGGTCGGGTCGCGGGGGCAGCAGCTTCAGAAGGGAGGCCCAGACCTCCCTCTCCCCAGCCACTTCTTCCAGCTCCTCCGGCGTTCCCAGGCCAGCTGAGAGACATAGTCCCTCCAG